GGAACACATAAGAAAAATCCAATCGGAGTTGGGAAGTCCATAATCAAGGTGCTGACAGATTTGGTGTCTGGTGAGGGCCTGTTTCCTGGTTCGTAGATGACATATCTTGCTGTTGTGCTCACCGTGGTCAGGCTGAAGGGTACGGTCTCGTGGTGGGTCTTATGCTCTATGTGTTGTGTCTATTTGATTTAATTACCTTTCTAAGGCCCCATTCTCATTTATTCAGTTCACCTATGTTGTGTTGTGTGTACTTATATGTGTAATTTTGTGTTTGTTGTTATTCAGGTCCTTTTTCTTTAATTCCTGGTTCGTAGATGACCATATTCTTGCTGTGTGCTCACCTGGTGTCAGGGCTAAGGGAGCTCTCTGGGGTCTCTTTTATAAGGGCACTAATCCCATTCATGAGGGCTCCACTCTCAAGATTTAATTACCTTTCAAAGGCCCCATCTCCTAATATCATCACATTGGTGGTGGTGGAGATTTCAACTTAAGAATTTTGGGGGTACACATTCAGTCCATAATAGTGTGTCTATCCTTGATTTTGTTCCTAATGTTGGTCATGACCCTTACTCAAACGCATGATCCTTAACCCTAAACCATGGCCTTTTGTGGTTTCCAAGTGAAGGCCTGAGGTGCTTGACAAGATCTCTCTGCTCAGGCTGGGCCATATCCAACATATTTGAGCATTATGTAACCTCTAGCACCTCCTTTCAGCTCTCAGCCCTGCAGCAGCTACTCTCTGTTAGACCTCATGGAGTCTCGCCATGAAACTTGCACATACTCAGCCCAGCCTTTAGCCAAGGACTGAGGGCTCCATGTGGACTGCTGGATACCCGTCCTCAGCTTAGCTTTCTCCTCTTTTATATCCTGCCCCACAAGTCCCAGCCTGCCAAGCTATCCTAAACCCCATTCTCTCCTTCCTCAGCTCAGCAAGACTGCACCTCTCCATTTGAGCTTCATGCCCTGCCCATGGTTCTGATCATGTCCCCGAGATGATGCTCATCTCATGTGATTCCCTTCTCTCTAGGATCATAGTCCAGTGCTTCTTGTCCAGTGCCTGAAAAAATTGCCTTATGCATTTTGTCCAGTTTTTTAATTGTTTAGGGCAGGAGGGCAAGGCTGATACCAATTGCTCCATTATGGTTGACCTCAATCTCTCTCTCTCTCTCTATATATATATACATACATTTTTAACAAGAAGGAATTCATTAGCTCATAAAACCAAAAAGGCCAAGTGCTAGGGCTGGTTCATTATGGTTGGATTTGGGGCTCAAACAACGTCACTGGAACTCATTTTGCTCCATCGTGCTGCCTTTTGCTGTGGGTTTTGGTCTCAGACTCCCCATGGTAGTGCAGTGGTGACAGCAGCCGCAGCCCCTACCTCCCGTCCTGGCCTCAATAACCCTTTGATGAGAGAGTAAATTTTAAAAGTTACCAAAATGAGTCAGATTAAAAGGATGATGAAGCATTTTGAAATCATGTCACATCAAAGAGTTGAAAGAAGTAGAGATGTTTGTTCTGGAGAGAATCTCTACTCCTCCAGAAGAGAAGTAGAGGCAACGGGTAACAGTGGGTATCTTTGCATATTGAAGGGCTGCTGTTGCAGAGGGTAGAACTAAAGCCGACGGAGGGAGGTGACAGCAGCACAGGTGCCAGCATAGACAGCAGGAGAACTCTGCGCATCAGATCTGCTGCCTGCAGATGTGGTGCTGGGGCGAAGCACAGGCTGGGTAGCTGTTTACTGGGGTGTCGCGAGTCTACATGCTAGAGGAGGGGTTCCAGTGCAACTCTGCTGAGCCTTGTGGGAAAAGTGTGGACTTTGAAGTCAGCCAGGTTTGAGCTGGGTTCCCAGTTTGACCTTCACTAGCAAGTTACTTAACTCTTCTGCACCTCAGTTTCCCATCTATGAAAAAGATGATGCTACCTATTTCTAAGGGGTGCTGTAATGGCTAGATGGAAAGCTGGCATTCCAGGTTCTGATCTTTGATACTGATCACAATCTGACACCCTGATGCTCCTACAAATATCTGGTATCCAAGCTCAGTTGTGCCCTTGGGGTCTTTGACAATTCTTTCACTTAATGGGGTTGGTTACCTATTGTATCCCTCCTTCCCCTGATTTTTCCAGTCTCCAATGCCTGCCCAATCCATTTAAAATCATAAAAAAAAAAAATTTCCATCACCTTTAGCTCTTACCCAACTCCTTCATTTTCAAAGAAAAATTCTTCTACAGCTTCCCATTTCTCCTACCTCCCACTTCAGTACCCCAAAATGTGCTCTGTCTACATTTCTGTGATTGAACTTACCATATTATTTTAATCTTTTAAACTATTTACAAATTATTAAAGTAATATATGTTTATGCTTAAAACATTCAAGCAGAGGGTGCAAGTGAGAAGTAATAGTTCTCTTCTTGCGCCAGCCCAGTGCCATCCCAGAAATAACCATTTTCATTTTCTTGCGTATTTTCCCAAGAAATATTTCAAACATAAGCAAGCATGTGCTTGCACATACATGTCAACACATATATTCTTTTTTGTTTTTACGTAATGCTACCTTGCTCTGTGAACTGTTGTATACATTGCTTTTTTTGTTTGTTTTAGATTTTCTTTAGATATCTAAATTTATAAAGCAATAATTCTTTTTTTTTTTTTTTAATCTGTAGGCTACGAGCCCAACTTGATATTTATTCATTCATTTGGTCATGCTAGAAACTGGCAACCTGTGGACTGACTCTAGCCCATAGGCTTACGTTTGTTGTTTTTCTTAGCCTTCACAATATTTAAAAATCAGATTTCACATAAGTCTACATTTTCAGCTTCTTTTAACAGAGATGCCCCTTCAAAGGGTATCTGTGTTCCTGTTCCCCCAACCCCCAGCATTCCTTGTCCCTTAGCCATCTGGCTCTAGAAGCTGCAGAGGGGACTGTGCCCGCTCCATCAACTAAGGCACGGTGCCAACGCTCTCTCCTCTCAGCAGACTGATGTTCCAGAGCTCAGTTTCCTCCTTAGGAGGGACTCCATATTTAGGGGAGCACGGAAGACCTTGCATCAACCCAAGTCTCTGAGGCTTTGATTCCTGAAGGTGAATCAAGTGAGCCCCATCTTTACCAGACAGACCGTCAGTCTCCCTTCTTCTGTTTCTTCTTTTTGGTTCTCTGGTCAGTGCCAACTCCAGCTTTCTTCCTCTGACTGCCGTTTCCTCCTCTTCTTACCTCTTGCTGCGTGGCCGTGGTGTGCTTGCTCTCTGCTTCCTAGTCCTGCGTCTACTCATCTTTCCATCCTTACCTCGACAATTCCTCCTCTCGATGTCGCCGTGTTTTCTTCTTGCTTCTCTTCCTCCATACTGATGCTCTGTTCTCTGTGTCCCTGTCCCACTGTCTAAACAGTCCTCAATTCTTCATCCTGCAAGTTCAAATTCTTTCACGGTGCGTTTCTCTGCTTCTGCTGCGGGGTTTGTACACGTGCTCTCTGCTCCTCTGTCCTGAAGACCTGGTAGCTCCTTACCTCTTCCTTTCATCCACCTCCGCTTCTTTCATGGTCTGCTCTTTCTTTTCTCTCTCCTTTATTTATATTTATTTATTATTTTTTGAGACAGACGTCTCACTTGTTGTCCAGGTAGAGTGAGTGCCGTGGCGTCAGCCTAGTCACAGGCACACTCACTCTGGGCTCAAGCAATCTTGCTGCCTCAGCCATCCCGAGTGGCTGGGACTAACAGGCATGCACCACCATGCCGGCTATTTCTATAGTATAATTTTGGCAATTATTCTTTCTATTATAAGTGGATGGGGGTCTCACTACTTGCTCAGGCTGGTCAAACTCCTGACCTCAAGCGATGTGCCCGCCTCGGCCTCCCAGAGTGCTAGGATTACAGGCGTGATCTTTCTCTTCCTTATCCTGAGGGGACTGATCAGTTTGCTCTCTGCTCTTCAATTCCCTAAGCTCACTTGTTCCTGCAGCTTCTTCCTCCTCATTCCATACAGTTGTTCCCTCTCTCTTATCTGAGACCTTTTGTTCTTGATGTTGCCTTTTCTTCTTCTTGCTTTTCCTGGTGCTCTGGTCAGTGTGTTCTGGGTGCTTCTCATCGGCATTCCTTTCAGGTGCTGTAGCCTTTTCCTTCTCTTTGTGCTTCCTTTTCTTTTTCTTCTTTTGGGGCGGCTTGCTCTCTGACTGTGGTTGAGAGGCCTGAGAGTCTTGGCCTCTGAGATGAGCCAGGAAGGCCTGCTCCTGGGCCTGCAGCCGAGCAAGCTTGGCCTTCATCGTAATCCCAAGACGGGCAGCCTTGTGTGCTGTTCGCCCCTCACAGGCTTGGAGCAGCATCTCATCCGTCAGAATCTTTGGGCGGTTGGGCCTCTGGTTGTCATCGTCACTGCAGCTCTCCATGTCTTTGTCTGGCTTCTCTCCATCTGAAGTCAGGGTAGCCGTCTTCACAAACTTCTGATACAGCGAGTTGGGCTTGGGAGGATTACGACAGGTGGTCTCCATAGAAAGGCGCCTTATCTGTACTCCATCCTGTCCAGCCTCCACTACCAAGTTGGCTGCAGTCTTGTTGAAGAGCTTGTTCCACCAGTGGTTTGTGAACTCCTTGGCAGAGTCGTGTCCCACCCCATGAGTGTCCTGCTTCAGTGTCACCCTGAGGGCCTGGGTGATGCCATTCTCCTTCCGGCCCAGGCCTTTGCCTTGAGTTCATCCATGCTTTAGCAGCTGCTCCTCAGCAAACTTCATCCCATGACTCTTGACCTCTGGGGTGACACACATGGTGATAAAAAGTGTCTGTCCTCAGACTCTCATGTCATTGCGGGGTCCTCTCCGTTGAAACATGTGCCATACCTGATGTGCGCACCACCATCTTCCAGCAGTAATTCTTTTTTTTTTGAGACAGAGTCTCACTCTGTTGCCCAGGATAGAGTGCCATGGCATCAGCTTAGTCACAGCAACCTCAAACTCCTGGGCTCAAGAGATCTTTCTGTCTTGGCTTCCTGAGTAGCTGGGACTACAGGCACGCACCACCATGCTCAGCTAATTTTTCTATATATTTTTAGTTGGCCAATTAATTTGTTTCCATTTTTAGTAGAGACAGGGTCTTGCTCTTGCTCAGGCTGGTTTTGAACTCCTGACCTTGAGCAATCCACCTGCCTCGGCCTCCCAGATTGCTAGGATTATAGGTGTGAGCCACCACACCCGGCCTAAAGCAGTAATTCATATAAGAAGAAGAAACTTTAGTATCCAACCCAAATCGTCAACCAAGAAGTTAGGTGGTTTTTCTGCTTCATCTTTAAGGTTTTAGATGAAAAGATGCCTGGGCAATGTATGGGGAAGGGGCCCAGAGCTTCCTCGCCCTTGCTACATGCCATCTTCCAGGAACTGCATATGTCCAGCTACCTGGAAGCTCCCATTGCTTTGTCTACTTCATATTCCTTATGCATCTTTCCAGATCAGTATGTGAAGCAATGCTTCATTCTTTTCAAGAGTTGATTGGAAAGAAATTAGCTGGACAACTAAAAATATATAGAAAAAATTAGCAAGGCATGGTGGCGCATGCCTGTAGTCCCAGTTACCCATGGGGCTGAGGCAGAGGATTGCTTGAGCCCAGAAGTTTGAGGTTGCTGTGAGTTAAACTGATGCTACAGCACTCTAGCCCAGGCAACAGAGTGAGACTCTGTCTCAAAAAAAAAAAAAAGAAAAGAAAAAAAAGAGTTAATTGGTATTCCTCTGTATGGATGGACCACAGGTTATTAATTCAGTCCTCTCTTGCTGGATAACTAGTTTTGTATGGTGTGCTGTCTTTCACCACTGGTAAATAAAATTGTATTCTAATTGTTTGTTTGGATCTGTGCTTTAAACCTGACTGGGGAGAACAGGGGTTGCATTTTATTCTTGGTTGTATCTTCATTATCTGGCCCCATCCTTGGCATCTTGTAAAAGTAACGAACTGATTCAATGCCACAGGGTTGGTCCCGAAAGGGCCTGGCCCAAGACCCTCTCCCAGGGTAGTTACCAGCAAAGAAAGGTTTCCCCAAATCTTAATCTTTGCCTCCCTCTCGTTCCGCTGGCAGGTTACTACCTCCAGAGGTAGCTCACCTCCCACTTGTCTCTTGGGCCCTCCACGTCATGGTGAAAATGAGATTTCCAATATGGGCCACAGACCCTCCCCACGGCACTGAGTCAGCTTTTTCTTAAACCTGACCTTTAAGAACCACTGTTGGTCATTGTGTCCTCTTGTGAATTGTGTTCTGCTTCTCCCAGCAGGGCTTCACAGGAGAAGGAGGCAGTTCATTTTCTCGCTGAATTCAAGCCCCTGGCACAGCTAAGCCCCTGGGAAGCATTCACTGAAGCTTCCCAAGCCTGTTCAGCATGAATATTTTACACCCCTGCAGTAAACTAGATTGTTAAAGCGAGGAATGGAGTTGTCCACGCCACACTGCTGCACCCTGGCAAGGAGTTTGGGGAAGTGAAGATGGTGGGGGAGGATGAGGCTTCTAATCTTTCCCAAACCAATACAGAAATTAGGTCCCTCACTTGAGCACTCAATCTTCCCTAAGCAGTGGGAGTGGGTGGTGGCTGTCACCAGGCCACCAGTATTCCTGCTTACTGGTCTGCCTTCAGGGTGCTCCAAAATGTCACCTTCAAATTCTGCCTTGTTGTTTTCTTGTGACATACTAGTCCACATACTGGGTGGCAGGTGGGAATACTCACTTAGGGCTCCTGACTCCCAGCAGAGGTTTCGTCCATGCCACTGACCCCAACCAGAAAGATTATGCCATCCTTCCAATGCTACCAGGTCACCCCTTCTCCCCTGAGCCCAGGATGATGGGAATGAATACAATTTTATAAAACTTCCTTTATGTCAAGTCCTGTTAGAAATGTTTTGCATGTCTTAGTCCATCTTCTGCTGCTACAACAGAATACCACAGACTAGGTGATTCATAATTAACAGTTTATTTGGCTTATGGTTTTAGAGCCTAGGAAGTCCAAGAGAATGCACTGGCATCTGGCAAGGCTCCTCCCATGGCAGGAGACAGAAAATGGAAGTGAGACAGAGAAAAAAAGGAGATGAACTCCTGTAATAATGAGTTAATATATCAATCCATTCATGAAGGCAGAGCCCACATGACCTAATCATCTCTTACCAGCCCTACCTCCCAATACTACATTTTTTTTTTTTTTTGAGACAGAGTGTGACTCTGTTGCCTGGGCTAGAGTGAGTGCCATGGCGTCAGCCTACCTCACAGCAACCTCAAACTCCTGGGCTCAAGGATCCTCTTGCCTCAGCCTCCCAGGTAGCTGGGACTATAGGCATGCGCCACCATGCCTGGCTAATTTTCTCTCTATATTTTTAGTTGTCCTGCTAATTTCTTTCTATTTTTAGTAGAGACGGGGTCTCACTCTTGCTCAGGCTGGTTTCAAACTCCTGACCTTGAGCGATCCTCCCACCTTGGCCTCCCAGAGTGCTAGGATTATAGGCATGAGCCACCGGGCCTGCCCCTCCCAATACTATTACATTAGCAATTAAATTTCAAGATGATGAAACAAGATCAGGCTTTGGAATTAAAAAGAAAAATTAAATTTAAAAAATTTAAAAATAATAAAAGAAGAAAAAAGATTTCAAGATGAGTTTTAGTGGAAATATTCAAACCATAGTAATATGTTTATTTTATAACTCAAGAACCCTATGAAGTATATTCCCTATTTTACAGACAAGACAACTGAGGATCAGAGAGGTTAAGTAATCTGCTCACTGTTGCATAGTGACAGATTCAAGCCTAGGCAATCTCATTTCAAAGTCCATATTATTAATTTCTGTGCCATCCTGCCCCTCAAAATTATGAGCTAGTTAGGCTCTGTTCTGAGACTTTACAGGCAATATTTCATTTAATCCTCATCATAGGTCTACGAAGAAAATACACTTTTTTTTTCTATATATATTAGTTGGCCAATTAATTTCTTTCTATTTATAGTAGAGACAGGGTTTCGCTCTTGCTCAGGCTAGTTTCGAACTCCTGACTTCCAGCAATCCGCCCGCCTCGGCCTCCCAGAGTGCTAGGATTACAGGCGTGAGCCAGCGCGGCCAAAAATACACTTATTGACTCAATTTTTTTTTTGCATTTTTTCCTTTATCAATAAAATAACAATAATATAAATTTATGGAGGTTACCTGTATACCAATTTTTTGTTTACATGCATAGAATGTGTAATAATCAAGTCAGGGAATTTGGGATATCCATCACCTTGAATGTTTATCATTTTTATATGTTGGTATAATTTTAAGTCCTCTCTTCTAATTATTTTGAACTATACATGACATTGATAAGTATAGTCACCCTACTTTGCCATCAAATATTAGAACTTATTTCTTATACCTAACTGTATATTTGTACCAATAACCAACCTCTCTTTATCTCCCCCTGCCCTCCACCCACCTTTCCCAGTCTCTGGTATCTATCATTATATTTGCTATGTCCATGAGATCAAGTTTTCTACCTCCCACATATGAGTGAGAACATATGGTGTTTGTCTTTCTGTGCCTGGCTTATTTTACTTAACATAATGACCTCCAGTTCCATCTGTGTTGCTGCAAATGACATGATTTCATTCTTTTTTATAGCCGAATAGCATTCTACTATGTATATATATCATATTTTCTTTACTCATTCATCTGTTGATGGGCACTTAGGTTGATTCCATATCTTTGATATCGTGAATAGTGCTACAGTAAACATGCAAGGACAGGCATTCCTTTGATATACTGATTTCTTTTCCTTTGGATAGATACCCAGTAGTGAGATTGCTGGATCGTATGGCAGTTCTTTTAGTTTTGTAAGAAATATCCATACTGTTTTCATAGTGATTGTACTAATTTATATCCCCACAAACAGTGTGTATGTGTTCCCTTTTTTCTGCATCCTCAGCATTTGTTATTTTTTGTCATTTTAATAATAGCCATTTGCCAGGCATGGTGGTACACACCAATAGTCCCAGCTACTCAAGAGGCTGACATGGGAGGATCACTTGAATCTAGGAGTTTGAGACTAGCCTGGGAAACATAGTGAGACCCCATCTCAAAAATAAATTTTAAAAAAGAAAAATATAATAGCTATTCTGACTGAAGTAAGATGACATTTCATTGTGGTCTTGATTTTCATCTCCCTGATGATTAGTGATGTTGAGCATTTTTTCATATACCTGTTGACTATTTGTATGTCTTTGAGACATGTCTATTCATGTTCTTTGCCCATATTTAATGGGATTATTTGGTTTTTTGTTGATATGTTTGAGTTCCTTGTATATTCTGGATATTAGTCTTCTGTCAGATGAGTAATTTGAAAATATTGAAGAGGTTGTCTGTTCGCTCTGTTGTTTCTTTTGCTTTGCAGAAACTTTAGTTTAATATAGTCCCATTTGCCTATTTTTGTTGTTGTTGCCTGTGCTTTTGAGGTCTTAGCCATAAAAACCTTGCCTAGACTACTGTCCTGAAGACAAGACCCTCTAAGTATCCTGCTAGAATCCGGTGGTTTTGCTCTGTCACCAACAGGATACTATAGAGAAGTTGATATTCTCTGAAAGTCGACATATTGGTGAAACTAGACTTATGATTATGGAATCATAATTTCCTTTGTACTTTTATCTAAAATTACACATATGTCCTGCTGGGAGGAAAACTGGCCACAAACAATCAAAAATCTCTGCACAGTAACCAACCATTTAAAAGCACATAACTTTTAAAAGGTAATTCTTGCAAAAATACTAATTGCTTGGAATATTTCACTACACAGCAGCAGCCGGGGTTTGCTGGAATAACTCACAGGTCCAGAGGAAAGCAACAACGGATAGAGCCACCAGAACAGAATGGAGCCTCCCTGCCCTGAAGCTTGGAGCAGGGGACTGTTCCCAGCCAATCAAAATTCATTTCCCAGCTCACTGTGGAAGCTTCCAGCATTCAGAAACCCACAGGTGAATCACAGCTGATGACTTGAAGGGGTGGGAGTGGGATTCGGCACGAGAACAGGAGCTAGAGTCCAAAAGAGGCTGCAAGCAAAAATTCAGCACCTTTACTGAACCAGGAAAAAAGAAGAAAGAAAATAGAAAATGAAGCAGGCAGTGGGCCTGGATGTCCTAAGGAATTCTCAGTGCTGCCCTGGAGTAGAGCCTCCTGCCCACCTCTGCAGCTTCCTCTCCCACCACTGAATTTTAAGCTCCAACAACACTAGAGGACTTATAATTCCGGCCCACACCAAGCTGTGCCTCGCTTCTGTGTCTTTGCTCAAGCTGTTCCCACTGCCTGGAATGCCTTCCCTCTCCCACTTCTCTTCAGCTGGCTGACTCCCACCCACCCCAAGAAACTCAGTGCAGGTGGCCCCCCCCCAGGAAACCTTCCCTGACCTCCAGCCCCATTACCCAAGCGCAGCTCTCTGAACCAGTGCCCCCTTGCATTACGGTTGTCTGTGGGTGGGTCTGTCTTACCCTTAGGGCTGAGTGCTCAAGCGGGCCATGGTGTATTCATCTTTGTATCTCAGTGCCTGACACATATTAGGCACTCAGGAAATGTGGACAGAGAGGGAATGATGTGGGCAAAAACATGGCAGCAGGACCTACTTTGCCTGGATGCAATGCAGCAAGGAAAAATGTCACAATTCTGGCCCAGGGTCAAAGAGACAGGCCTGGCATACCCTCCGTGGTCGCTCTTCTAAACAAAGGAGACAAGGTCATCAAGAATCATGATAATTTTAAAAATTTCTTCTTCTCCTCATATCCTCAAGCAGGAGACTCTTGTTAACAAGCAGAATCTCTAGACCAGGGGTCCTCAAACTTTTTAAACAGTGGGGGCCAGTTCACTGTCCCTCAGACCATTGGAGGGCTAGACTATAGTTAAAAAAAAAACTATGAACAAATTCCTATGCACACTGCATATATCTTATTTTGAAGTAAAAAAACAAATGGGCAAAAAACACCCGTATGTGGCCCATGGGCCATAGTTTGAGGACGCCTGCTCTAGGGCTTGAAGGGACCCTCAAGTTGGTCTCAGGCTGTGTCATTCAAAAAGTGGGAGGTGAGATCCAGAGAGGATAAGGGACTTGCTCTGATCCCATAGCAAGTGAGTGGCTATGCTGGGACTAAATCCTAAGTCTCCTGATACCCCCGTTCTACACTCTGGCCCTATGTCACCGACTGCACAGAGCACAGTTGAAGATGAACAGAGTAACTATCAGGTGGGACAATAGGCCTCCATCCCATGAATGAGCAGCAGAAGAGAGGACCTGCAGTTCCAAAGCAAACTCCTGGCAAGACAGGGGGGAGGAAGGACAGCCTAGAGAGTCACTGCATCTCGTGAGCTGTGGGAAGGCAGCAAATGATGGAGTAGACCAGCACTGTGCAATACCAATATTAATATAATACCAGCCACACGTGGCATTTTAAGGTTTCTAGTAGACACATTTTAAAAGTAGAAAGAAGCAAAGAAAGTTTTCCCCCCAGTTTCCAAAGGTTTTATTGGCAAGGAACTATTGATCCTATTGCTTCCAAGTCAGGGGAATAAAGACCTGTGTCCAGGGACAGAGGAAGGGTGCCAAAGGGGACCCTTTCATTCATAGATACAGTCACAGGCACAAGACTCATGTAAATAAATTCTTCCGGTTTAAGCCAGAGGCTGATTTCTTTTTCAGCACTTTTTACTGAATCACGGCCGTGAACGGTGTTTTGCCAAGTCGAATGCAGAAGTTCCTGGGAACGATGCCTGGCTTAGGTTCTGCTGGATGGGCCCCCCTGGGCATCTCTTGTACAGTCTTCCCCACATTTAGCCCCTCCATGGCCACGACTGGCCCAGGGTGCTGGTACTTTTCCAGCGCCAGGAAGAATGGGCGGTGTTTCAGGTTGGTGTAGTGCTGCTTCAGGTGTTCCTCGGAGGCCTGAAAGAACTTTGTGGTCACCAAGTAGAATCCTTCCTGCTCAAAGCATTTTATGATCTCGCCCACTGGGCTGTGAACACCGCTGGGCTTGATGACAAAGATGCTCTCAGTTGGCCGTGGTCTGAGGATCGGGTAGTGCCAGATGGTGCCGGAGCTGAGACATGGAGCCAGGAAATTGTTTTTAATAATATATTTAACTCAATATTTCTGAAATGTCATTTCAACATAGAGTCGACATAAAAATTATTGATGAGATATTTTACATTTTTTTCAAAAAGAAGCCTTGAAAACCGAAAAGGAATTTAAAAAAAGGGGAATTTGAACCAACCAAAATTCAAAGGCCTAAAAACCAAAACCGGGGAAGGGCCAACAAAACGGAAAACAAAAGAAAAGGGAAAAAATTTTTTCTCTACCCTGAGTTCTTAGCTTGAGCCCCCTGTAACAAAAGACAGATTAATAACAGAAAAACAAACAGAAGTTTATTAACATGTACACTTCAGGTGTACATGGGAGATACCCAGAGAAATGAGTAAATCTCTAAGAGGTGGCTTAGAATTCAGGCCTAAGTACCATTACCTGCAGATGAGTGGCTACGGGGTGACCAGAGAAAGCATGGTAAACAAGGGTGAGGTTTGTCATGTAGATTTACTCAGTGGCTTCTTCATTGATAGGAGTTTATTGTGATTTAGTCATTTTCTCTTCCTGGTGCAGAGAGCAGACACTCTTAGAAATGGAGATTTCCTTTATAGATGTAAGTTTCCTTTACAAAAGAATAATTTCTATTCTGTTTTTAGAGCTGCTCCTGTGTCTGCTATTTCTCAAAATAATCTGCTTGAAATAATCCTTATGCGAAAGAAGCATATTCTGGGGTGGCATATTCTGGTCTCCTACAGTCATATTTTGGGGTGACATATTTTTGGTCTTCTACAGTAGTGAAGGACACTCACCATACCACCCAGTAAAATATCAGTACCACTGGCCTGATGGAGTGTCTGAAATCCCTAGTTACCCACTCTTATGGATGACACATAATTTTCAAAAGCACCTGTGCCATCTAGGAGGGAGAAAATATTAACCAGGAGACCACGCCATTGGCCACCTAGAACCACCATAATGACTTCAGGCAAAGGATGGGCTGCAGTGACATTTTACTCTCTACCCTCAGTTATCTAGGAAAGATAACTGTGTCCCTAAAGGAAATGCTTTCCTTTAAATTCTCTAAATCCAGCAGGGTGCGGTGGCTCATGCCTATAATCCTAGCACTCTCGGAGGCTGAGGCAGGCAGATCATTTGAGGTCAGGAGTTCGAGACCAGCTTGAGTAAGAGCAAGACCCTGTCTCTACGAAAAATAGAAAGAAATTACCTGACAGCTAAATATATATAGAAAAAATTAGTCGGGCATGGTGGCGCATGCCTGTAGTCCCAGCTACTCTGGAGGCTGAGGCAGGAGGATCACTTGAGCCCTGGAGTTTGAGGTTGCTGTGAGCTAGGCTGATGCCACGGCACTCTAGCAGGGGCAACAGAGTAAGACTCTGTCTCAAAAAAATAAATAAAAATAAATAAATTTTCTAAGTCCAACTGGCTGCTTTCAAAGCTCCATGCTTTCAAAAATTTTCTCCTCGTATCTTAAGTCTCTCACTGGAACACTCCTGGACTTCAAGCCTAGGTCTCTACAGAATTGCAATGCCCCAAACCTCACCTTCCTTTCTGGTCACTGCCCCCCCTACCCTATATTACCCCATTATCACCCTCTGGGTCTCATTTCCTATTAGGGTTTTGCCAAACAATCCCTGAAATCAGTAGCCAAGCCAGTATGAGCTGCCTGAGCAGGATGAACTGGGGCCCAGAGATCTCAATTCAAGATGAAGGTTAGAAAGTGCTTCTCAAATAGGCTCAGCTGTTAAAAGCTAATCCAATTTTCCCATTAAGATTTCTCTATCCCAATAGGCAGGTTATCAAAGTTGTGAGAATATACATTGTTTCCAAGGGATATAGTAAAGCCATTTTCATGTTGGATGATAGAAAATGCCTCTCGTAAGCATTTTTACATTTTCAGTTTTCTTGACTAAGCACTTACGTAAAAAAAGATTTCTGAGAGCCAATAGTTCCAAAGTTTTGGGGTGGACCAGTAAAAAAAATTTTTTAGAGTCTCAGTCTGTCACCCAGGGCTAGAGTGCCATGGTGTCAGCCTAGCTCACAGCAACCTCAAACTCCTGGGCTCAAGGGATCCTCCTGCCTCAGCCTCCTGAGGGGCTGGGACTACAGGCATGTGCCGCCATGACCAGCTAATTTTTTGTTTCTGTTTTTAGTTGTGGGGCTAATTTTTTCTATTTTTAGTAGAAATGAGGTCTTACCCAGACTCCGGCTGGACTCGAACTCGCAGCTCAAGGGGTCCCCCAAGCCTTGGCCTCCCAGAATGCTAGGATTACAGGCATAAGCCACTGTGCTCTGCCACTTCAAGGTTTTGTTGTGCTGTATTTTTAAATTTTGGCTGGATGCAGTGGCTCATGCCTGTAATCCTAACACTCTGGGAGGCCGAGGCAGTAGGATCCCTTGAACTTGGGAGTTTGAGACCAGCCTGAGCAAGAGCAAGACCCCATTCTCTACTAAAAAAAGAAAAAATTAGCCAGTTGTGGTGGCCCATGGTTGTAGTCCCAGCTACTCAGGAGGCTGAGGCAGGAGGATCACTTGAGCCCAGGAGTTTGAGGTTGCAGGCTGAAGCCATGGCACTCTAGCCTGGGTGACAGAGTGAGACTGTGTCTCAAAAAAAAAAAAAAAAACCCAAAACAAAAAAAACCTTTAGGTGACCAAAAACATGTTTAAGAAAAATCTACAATACTTGGAAATAGTGAAAAGGGATTACTATTAATACCCTTCTTTTCAGGGTCCTGGTGGGCTTCGTCTAGTAGGCCTTGTAAGGCTGGTGGCAGGCCCCCTCCCTTCCCTAGATCAAAAAAGAAAAGGCTCAGGAGACCAGACCACCAAGGACAAAACTGCCAGGCCCTGCTGAGAGGAACCACCTTTTTGGCTCCCGGATTCCACAAATACCTCCAGCCCCTTCTATTTCTCAATGACCACCCAAGGTCACAATGGAAAATCCCCAGCTCCTCCCACCACAAGTCCCTAGCCCTGCTCAAAGGGGATAAAAGGCCTCATCCCCTTCAAACAGTGGCGACTTCTGGGGCCCCCTTTTCTTGGGGCCCCAGAACCTCATCCAGGAGTGTATAATAAAGCCACGTGGTTTGGCCCCCAGTCTTTCTCTCTGTCTGTCTTGTCTTCTTGCCACAGCTGAAAAACCTTACAGGCCTACCTAAGAATTATCTGGTTGGCTAGGGGCAGGTGCTTTTGTTAGAAATTGTTATGCTATTAATTTGAATATTTTACCAGAAGACTAACTTGTAGAAAACAAAGAGTAATTCAAATTAAACTCGTCCTATAGAGATGCTAACTATTTCTGTCCCTTAGAGAAGATAATCCCAAATGTGATGGTTAATGTAGAATTTTAATCAGTTTTGTATCTAAATTAGCCAACTTTTGCAAACATTCTATTAGACACTATAATGGTTACATTCTGTCCAATTCTCTTTGAACTAACCTAACCACCTTGCTGGTTCCGTTATCAAAACTGCAAGGGGGTTTCAGCATAGGTCCAGTTACTTGTGGTACAAATATTTTTACTTGTGGTACAAATATTTTTTAGTATGAAAGACATCTTTTCTGGGAGAATGGGAGAAGCTGCCTCAAATCCATGCTGCTGACTAATGGGAGACTGTGGACTTTTAAAGGAGGGGCCACATGCCTTGGGGCAGATTGTGGTGTAACTAACAAGGGTGCATTGGGGGCAGGGAGTGGGTGAGTCCTGGTATCAGGAAGTCTATCCAGGACCTTCAGAATTGTAACTCCTCTGTCCTACAGTTAGTTGATCTTTCTTACAGAAATGGTGGATTTTCTATAAGAAAGGTCAACTAGTTAAGGGAGAAGATTGTAAAAAACATACAGGGGTCACTGAAATTTGTTCACAGAACTGGTTATAGTTCCCTCTTTAATGAGTTAAATACTTGACATGCTCATTTTCTTATTTGCATGAGATTCATGTTTTTAACATTTTGAAAATTATACTTTCTCAGTAAGGTTGGCAAATTTCATTCTGTCATGTAAAAACAGAAAAGGAAAATTTATACCATCTACTATCTCCATAAAAGTAAATATATTTAATACAAAAAATGAAGTCTATAATGAGAGGTGAAGGACAATATTTAAATGGGTAATGCTGGAGACCAGAATGTGCCACCCCAAAATATGCCTCTTTGGCATAAAGTTTATTTTGAGCTGATTATTTCGAGAAACAGCAGACACAAGAGAAGCTCTAAAAACAGAGTAGAAGTTATCCTTTTGTAAAGGAAATTTACATCTATAAAGAAAATCTCCATTTGTAAGGGTGTCTCAGGCTCTTTACCAGGAAGAGAAGGATAACCAAATCACAGGAAGCTCTTATCTACAAAGAAAGCACCAACTCAAATGTGCCTGACAAACTTTAGTCTTGTTTCCTATGCTTTTCCTGGGCACTTCCCCATAACTGGACTCCTTTTTTCTTTGTATTTAGCTGAAGGTGTGATATAAGGCTGAATTCTAAGCCACCTCTTTGAGAGCTACTCATTTTTCCCTGGGTATCTCCCATGTATAAATGTTAATAGACTTATATTTGTTTTTCTCTTACTAATAATATATATCTTTTATTAAGGCATGACAGCTAAGAACTCAAAAAGGTAGAGGGAAATTTTTTTTTCTCCCCTACATTTCTGGTGAGGAGGATGGGACTGCTGGGACACCCCCCTCAGTACGCAGCCAGCAGATGGTATCCTTGGAAAACTGGCAGTAGCTGGCAAAGGTACGAATTCTCACCATATCTCCTCTCTGCACTCCTGTCTGTAGTGCCCAGTCTAGAGGTAAAAACTTCTCATTGTCCTTAACTTTTAAAATTCAGATTAGCAGGAAAAAAACATTTGTAAGAATCAGTTATTTGGGCAGGGTGCAGTGGTGGCTCATGCCACCTAGTGCTTTCAGAGGCCAAGGAGGGAGCATTGTTTGAGGCTCGGAATTCAAGGTCAGCCTGGGCAACATAGCATGACTTTGTCTCTACAAAAAGTTTAAAAATGAGCCAGGTGTGGTGGTATGTGCCTGTAATCCTAGCTATATCGGAAGATAGCTTGAGCCCAAGAATTTGAGGTTGCAGTGAGCTATGATCATATCACTGCAGTCCAGCCTGGGTGACAGGGTAAAACCTTGTGTCTCTAATAACAAAGAACTAAAAAAAATTACTTCTTTGGATTGCGAATCTTGTAAATTTGGTTTAGGGTTCCCATTGGTAATTCATCCTTTCCTTCTGTTGGGGCTCAGAAAATGATACCCCAAAATGAAGGCCTCTGAAGAGCTTCAGAAACAAAAAGTTGGTTCCTCTGATCTTCTACCCTCCCATCTCTGGCCCTTCATTCCCTCTTGAGGCTAGCAATAGAAACTACAATCCTTTTCCCCAAGGTGAGTCATGGAAACCAAAACTCCCTTTCCCCAAAGCCAGACATAAGACCTAAAAATATTACTCTAACTTTTCCTCTGTCTTTCTGTGTAAAAACTGGCCTTAAACAAATTAGTTGATCTACCTTGTGTGATTGTAGGTCATAAGACCCCCATTCCAGAGAGGGCGCTGTTCCACACCCAGAAGGAAGGAATGCATGCTCAGAAAGGCCAGGAACAAACTAGACAGGGTTGCTGGGTTTCCCCACTGAGCTTATTAGCATTAGATCATACCCTTTTGGTCCAAGCATATTTCCACATGGCTGCCCATACTTTGTTGAACTTAAGCATAAAAACGGACAGTTTCCCCTGTATCTTTGGGTATTCATTCTGAAGGCTCCAGTGTCACATAAAACTATGATCAAATACATTTGCATGCCTTTTCTCCTACTTTTGTTTCTTTTCTTTTGGATAATAGCCATTCTACCTTTTCTCCTATTAATCTTCCTTTTGTCCGTGATTTTCGGTGAAACTTCAGAGGGTGAGAGGAAGTATTCCTTTGGATCCTGAAGTTTTTGCACTGTAAGCAGGATACCAAAGCCACTCTGATCTGGAAGCCACAGTTAAGGAGACCCAGGACCTGACAAGCAAGCAGAAGGGTAAGATTTTCTTAGCAGTCAGGCTCCAGGGCCCTTTCTGGAATCCAGTTGAGCAGACAGTAAAAATCACTGTCTTGTTTTCCTCTCCAAAATCGTGATTCGTGGGAGAAAGGGATTTGTGTGACAGTCTTGGGTGTAGTGACTCTGGTGTAATTTTTGGTATGAATATTCATATTGTTCGATCTCTTTCGTCCCAGAAATAGTTTTTTTCCTTTCTCTTTTTGTGTTGGTCTGCCTTAAAAAGGGTACCACAGGCTAGAACATGGGCCCCAAACCCCCATAAACCCATATGCAGGCCAGCCCTGCAAGCTGGTCAGTTTAATGTTCTGACCAGACTGGCAACTATAATTTTGGGTCCCCAACTATATTATTTTGGGTCCCCAAAATAAAAATTGGCAGAGTTTGTCTCTCATCTTGTTTTATGTCTTTGGGAGCCTGACTTGTGACCGAGTGCGAGCACTCTCTCTTGGTCTGCCATCCAGGGGGCATGATTTTGGGGTTATGTCCTGCGGCCAGTCTGAAAAGATTGGGAACCCTGAGACATGTAAGATCTTAAGCAGCACACTTTTTGATCCAAATGTGTCACGCTGTCAGGGGAGTTTGTTTTAGTAAGAGGTCCCATCCATAAGGGGACTTCTTATGGCATCTCTACCCTTGTTTCCTGGCTAGTCCTAGAAAAATCCAATCCCAGGACGGCCTACCCAGTGTCATAGATTAACTGGTCTATGACTAGTGGCCACCCCCCCCACCCCCAACAAATCTGTGGGATACTGGAAGCGCTGTACACACAAGCAACATCCTTAACCATCTGTGGCAGCAAGACCCTTTTGCTATCTTAGCCTATTCCCGGGAGTGAATATTTTGGGGGATGGATCACTAGGACTGCCTTTTCTATGCCCTCTCCAGGAACACCTCTTGCTTATGTGGTAAAAACTTTTCTAAATCTGGAAAGTTACTTCCTGGGCTTTCCATGAAATGGCTTATTGAGTCACTATTGGAATGAGTACAACACTGAAAATTCTAGTCATCAGTGGCCAAAAGATGGATCCTTTAAATTAGACAGACTCCTTTCTGTGTGTGATGGCTGGCAGGTCACGGGCGAGGGCTGCAGTTTTGGAGATGGCTGACAGCAGTTGCGACGAATGGTTATTACTGTAGGGGGCTATACATTGCATTGCATGTTCAGATATGAAAAGCCCAGTTTGGACACTTAGAGGCTGTAAAAACACTCCCCACCAGGGGCTAAGACTCCCAATGGAGATAGGCTGATCACAGAGTGGGCTGATTGGCACTGGGTCACCAACCAGCCTTGTGGGGATGCCTTTGCAGTGAGATGCACTGTGGAAACACTGCACAGCCCAGTCTGTGGCAGTTCCCTCTCCTGGGAGACCCAGGAGTCCATGTAAAAGTAGGATACTTAGTTCTTAAAAATCTAGGTGCTCTGCTTGCAGCTACTCCTGCTTTTCACATATTTAAATATTAGGCTCTGAAAACTGCAAATGCTTTGTTGACTCCAGTTGAAAATGGAGACTAAATCAGAAGCTACCTATGTAAATGAAATTGGTCTCCTTATTAAATCCTACAGTGAATTTCTATAATTTTGAGTTACCTTGGCATCCATCTTAAATCTTCCTCTAACACACCCAAACTCCCTCTTGAAAAGGCTTAAATTTTTGCTCTGTACTCTAAGATGTAAATTTGCTACATTATTTTCTCTAAAACATAGTAAGGGTTTTGGCCATGTGGGGGAGATAAACTTTTTTTAATTTCAGCATATTATGGGAGTATAAATGTTAAGGTTACGTATATTGCCCATGCCCCCCCCTTGAGTCAGAGCTTCAAGCATGACCATCCCCCAAACGTTGCACATCTCTCATTGTGTTTGTATATACCCATCCCCTCCTCTCCCTCTCGCCTGACACCCGATAAATGTTTTTCCTGTATGTCCACTTAGGTGTTGATCCATTAATACCAATTTGCTGGTGAGTACATGTGGTGCTGGTTTTTCCATTCTTGAGATACTTCACTTAGTAGAATGGGTTCTAGCTCTATCCAGGAAAATACAAGAGGTGCTATATCACCATTGTTTCTTAAAGCTGAATAGTACTCCATGGTATACATATACCACATTTTATTAATCCATTCATGAATTGATGGGCACTTGGGTTGTTTCCACAACTTTGCAATTGTGAATTGTGCTACTATAAACATTCGAGTGCAGGTGTCTTTTTCATAAAGTGACTTTTGATCTTTTGGGTAGATGTCCAGTAGTGGAATTGCTGGATCAAATGGTAGATCTACTTGTATTGCTTTAAGGTATCTCCATATTGCTTTCCATAGAGGTTGAACTAGTTTGCAGTCCCACCAGCAGTGTAGGAGTGTTCCCATCTCTCCACATCCACACCAACATTTATTGTTTGGGGACTTTTTGATAAAGGCCATTCTCACTGGAGTTAAGTGATACCTCATTGTGGTTTTGATTTGCATTTGGGACAGATAAATTTTAACTTGTTTTATTTACAGAGTCACCATTTAATCAGATTGTCCTTTTAAACTAATGAGTTTTACCTGTCTCATGGTCAAAAAATTTTTTTTGAGACAGGGTCTCACTCTGTCACCCAGGCTAGAGTGCCATGGCATCATGATAGCTCACTGCAACCTCCAACTCCTGGGCTCCAGTGATCCTTCTGCCTCAGCCTCTTGAGTAGCTGGAACTACAGGCATGTGTCATCACATCTGGGTAATTTAAAAAATTATTTTTTGTAGAGACAGGGTCTTGCTATGTTGCTCAAGCTGGCCTCTAACTCCTGGCCTCAAGTAATCTCCCACCTTGGCCTCCCAAAGTGCTAGGATTATGGGTCTGAGCCACCACACCCGGCCACTAAAATTTAAAAATCAAAGCTATAAAATCTTTGTCTTTTTATGTATGCCTGCAGTGTTTGTATATTGTCTATATGGTACTAAATAGATTTATAGGCCAGGCATGGTGGCTCACACCTGTAATCCTAGGACTACAAACTCTGGGGGGCTGAGGAGGATTGTTTGAGCTCAGGAGTTTGAGGTTGCTGTGAGCTAGGCTGATGCCACGGCACTCTAGCCAGAACAACAGACTGAGACTTTGTCTTAAAAAAAAAAAACGACTTATAAATAAGTGAGTACTCATAAATTAAGGAAATAAGCACATATACTTTTCAAGTTCATGTGACCCTAGTAATCTTTGGTAAATAAAAGTTTTTAAATCGTTGGTAAAATAAAATTATAACTTCAGAATTGTCAGTTTTATCAATAAATATAATTCAGACATTTTGCCTGGGTCTACTGGTCAGGCAGGTTTAGGATATCCCTGCTAGATGTTTTAAGGTCATAAAACTGTTGCTTCTGTGATAGTTTTGATACTTGTTTGTCTATGAGCTTATGTCTGGTTTTGAGCCTTTAGGTTATAGGGTCTAGACAGATGGCACAGCAAGGTCTGGTGGCCTTGGCCACCATCTACAGGGCAGAATCAAGCGCAATATGCCCTTCCTGACCCAGCTTGCCTCCTGGCCATGCTAGGAGCGGTCAGTTCTTCCAGGCATTGTCTTCACAGCACTTTCCTCTGTCCTGAGTTCTACTTCTAATATAGAACAACTAAAATTGCTTACTTCCTAGGTTTTTTACTGAAAATTTGGGTTATTAAGAGTTAACATTGTAATTAATACATAATGAAAACTACCAGATATAAGAGAAACAACTCTCTACACGAAGTATATAGAGAAAGATGTGTTTTTTTGGTAAAGAAGGTTATAAAAAAAAGATAAAAATGTGGTTTTCGTTAAAGAAAAAGTAATTTTGGCTAGTTTAAAAGTTATTTAAAGGTTGTTTTAGATTAAAGGGATAAAAAATAATAGATAAAACAATGTGGCTATAGAAAGTGAGGAAATGAAAGGAAATGGAAAAAAAATTTTAAAGGTTTTAATAGGTTTATGAAAATCTTGTGTAGTCAAAGCTGATTGTTTATAAGGTTTTCTTAAAGTTAGGTTTAATAATAATACAGATACAAGGGTGAAATTTAGTTTTATCTTTTGAACAAGATTTCCATATAGTATTAATAAAAGATATTAAAAGGTTTTTGTTTACCTTTTGAAACTACCAAAAAAAAAAAAAAAACAGAGTGGAGAAAGAGAGGAAAAACGGATTCTGTTTGTCTGATGCTGTCTTTATTAGGTCTTTTGATTCTTTGGAAAACTGAGTCTCCTTCCTATCAAAGGTTTTTCCTTTTTAAAATAAAGGTTTTACGGTAAAGGTCTTTCCTTTTTAAAATCTTTGAATAATCACTTTGGCAAAACGAATTGCTATTATTTTATAGTGATCTGTGATTCTATTTTGATATCAAGTGTTTTAAATCTTTGATATTTGAAGTTTGATTTTGGAAAGTTTGTCAAACTCTAAGTCTTTTTCAATTTGAACTAGTTTTTGGACATTAAGTTCTCTGGAAGGCCAAATAGGGCCTCTGGAGGTTCAAGAGAGACATATTAGGCTTATTTGGTATGTTAAAATAATATGGAAACCATAGTCGAATAAAAAATAGTGTTTTGTAGCTTAGTTTTTGTTTTTTGAGACAAGGTCTTGCTCTGTCATCCAGGGGCTAGAGTGCAGTGGCATCATCATGGCTTACTGCAACCTCAACCTCAAACTACTGGATGCAAGTGATCCTTCTGCCTCAGTCTCCCGAGTAGCTGGGACTAAAAGCAAGCACCACCACATGCTTGGCTAATTTTTCTATGTTTTGTAGAGATGAGGTCTCGCTTGTGCTCAGGCTGGTGTGGAACTCCTGGCCTTAAGTGATCCTCCTGCCTCAGCCTCCCAGAGTGCTAGGATTACAGGCATAAGCCATTGGGTCTGGCCAAGAAATAGTGTTTAACTTTCTTTGAGTTATATTTGTATGGATATGTTATTAAATGTGTTCCAAAATTGTATGAGATTCCTAAAAATCTCATGTCTT